ACATGTAGAAAACTAAAGACTGAGCAACACGAACTTATGATATAACTTACTTATTTAGTAAATAAGGATCGATAAAGAACAGACATATGCCCGTGAACTTATGAGTTTTGCATGGGTCAGTTTGTTAAGTATAGGATTTGGAATTATTGATGGATCTTCAGAAGACATTAGCCCAATGAACTGGGAATGGCTATCTAGTAGGGTTTCACTTAAAATTATTTACAATTTTGTTTAGAATGTCACCAGTCACATTTACTTTTTTTTTTTTGGGGGGTATTCTTATACATTTATTTATTTCGAAACTACCGCTTTACAATGGGGACACTTTGCAGGCGTGGTATCAATATATACGTCTAATAGCATATATAATTAATATGTGCAATCAAGTAAAATACACATAAGGCAATATCAGAGTTAAAAATTGTTACCCTATAAAATAAGTTAACTTTCATAAAAGATATAACAGTAAATATAAAATAAAATTGAAGAGTTCAAGTTTACATAAATCTTATTGTACACATAAATCGCAATAAGCTTAATTTTCAAAGATTGAAAGTATGTGAGAGTACATTTTACTCAACAGTTTTTTACTCAAATATACATATAAATGGTTTAACATGATAAAAGTAATCAACTAGCAATATGTTTATTTTATTCTGAAGACTCTGTGAAGCAACGACAGGGGAAGTTAATATTTAGATATACTCATTAATATCAGTAAAATATTCGTTTCGTATTAAAGTATATTCAGAAGACTCGAGTATTAAGTGTTCCATGGACTCCTCAGATGTACATGAACACTATTGACATATAGGAGCTCACTCAGAGATTCATTCTACATAAAATTTAATTGATTTACAGATAAACATATCTTGTTCGTGTTAACAATTCCAGACTTGTAAACTAAAATTTCAGCAAGTTTAACAGCTAAAGCTTCATACCGGTCGCAAAGTTAAATCTGGAGAATGCGTTTAGACTGCTTTTATTTCTTATTACAATGTACTTGCATTGTCTTTTACCAAAAAAAAAAACCTTTCTATAAATATAGATTCTACCACTGCATCGAGTGTGATACGATATTTATCCACTCGAGACAGTTAAATTTTCAAATTTAAAACGCGAGGCTCGCCGAGCGTTTTAAATATTTAAAATTTAACTGTCGAGAGTGGATAAATATCGTATTACACGAGATTTGGTGGTGGAATCTGTTTCTCTAATGATTTTCAAACAATACGCAGGCAATTGTATTCCTTCTTTTCGAATGATCTGCAAAAAGATGTGTTCTTTCTATGTGACGTCATCAGGCATGGTCGCCTTTTTTCATGCCGTCACAATAGGAAATTCAGAGGAAAGCAAGAAAAATCGACGTCATAATCGGATTTTAACCAATGAAGAACTGAGATCAAACGAACCACACGTTGATTAAATTTTTTTTATACAATGGGTGCAGAAAGGGATAAATTGACGAAGAATTAGAGAAACTGTATTATATGCATTTAACTTACCTTGTAAAAGTGATCCATACATATGTATCATAAACCCGCGTGGATAAACCTCTATGTAGCGTTTAGCAGTTTAGCTCATCATTTTAATTCGTCATACAGTACTTGTATCCAAGAGATGAGTCCTAGTGAAATAAGACACCCTTTGCTTATCAATGAAATGATTTATTAGGCCCGATCCTAAATCTATAGAAAGAGCCGATTAACGGACACTCATATTACGATTTATAAATCATTTTTTGCGATGTTTCTTCTTCTCTTCTTCCATATACTGCCCACATTCAACTTTCTGAATATACTGGCAAATTGAAGAATTTATTGGCTTGAAATTGTTTAAGACAGCCATATATCACACTCCAATGCGATAAATGGTCGTAAAAGATCCGTGCTAACTTAGAAACTTAGCCATTTCATTGTGTTATTATACATGTATGGTCATATAGTTGGGCATGCGCTCGAAGTTATTGTGTTAACAATTTAAAATATTAGGAAATAACATACAACTTTTGGATTGCCTCGGATAATCAAAATTACGGAATGGTAATAAACTTCTTTGAATTTTAATTATTCTAAAAAAAATTCTTATAAATCGCATAAATTTATTTCTATCTATAAAGAAATACGATAGGAAATCTTCTTCATACTTCTATATACTTACACGTACCATGCGGTTTAATATTTATCTCTACAATGCATATGTTCGGTGTGAGCCAATGCTCCGTGTTGAAGGCCGTACCTTGACCTATAATGGTTTACTTTTATAAATTGTAACTTGGATGGAGAGTTGTCTCATTGGCACTCATACCAAATCTTCCTATATCTATAGACAGGTTTTTCCGATTATCTGCCTTAGTTTGTGACGCGACTCCTAGGCGTCGTCGTAGTACGATCGCCATTACAACCGTGAAAAAATATAAACAAGATATAGATCTATATGCTCTGACCGCATATAATTAAATGTAAACACAAGAATGTGAAGTCGTACTTGACCTCGGCAAAATTATATGTGCTATTAATAATAAAGTAATTAGATAACTAAAGGATTCTAAGTGTATTGCAGGCCAGGTGTCGTGTCCTTAAAATATAACTGTATTTGATATGTTACACGCGGGACATAATAAATTTTATACGAATACTAATCCCCGGTTACATGTCGATTATAATCATTTGGTTATCATAATATTAATAATTATAACGCATACATAAATAAAAAAATTAATAGTCTTGACCGGTCGAATGTGATATATCAGAAAAACCAGCTAGGGTGCAATTTTATCAAATCATAGAAATTTCTGTGGTCAGACCTATAATGAGACAGTCCTAAAATTTACAATCCACTAATCAGACGGTCCTACAGAGACGAGAGTTTTGTGCTTTTTGCTTGACTCACGTATAATACTCAAAATTGAGTGACATTTTCGTATTACTTTGGTGTACGCATGAATTGCGCTATATGCTATCGATGCGTCGGGCCATATGTAGATATAACTTTGCGATTAGAATATGGGCTTAAGAAGTTTTGAACTTTCACGGCCCATGTATTTCTATAATTATTATGTGTTCGATTCCAATTTCTTTTGCAGAAAATTACTCGACATACAACTACTATAGTATGTATAGTATATAACATATCATGCTCCAGCCCGCGCTTAATATAGATGAATGCCATTAAACCCGCACCAAAGACTCCAACATGTAAATTCAAAGCGATGATTAGTTATGTTTTAGAAGCGTCATTTAGTGTTTTGCCAACTCCCCTCCCAACCACTCCAAAACAGAGATCTCGTAGATTTTCATCCTTAATCCGTATTAGACTCTAATAAGTCCCCGATGTATATAATACAGTGAAATACAGTATTACAATATAACATTAGGGGTGTATATCGGACCGTCGGACTACTGAACTGTCGGAATTTCGGGTTGTCGGATTATAGCTACGCTTTCGTAGGTTCTAGTAAACTATTTGATTACCAAGAGTTAGACCTTTGAAAAATTCTTTCAAATGTATAAAATTTTAGAATTCATGCACAGAATAATCTACTGAGGAAAGTTCAAATCAAGAGAAGTAACTGTATAAGTCTTATAAAGAAAATAAAGTGAATATATACTGTAAGCACACAGAACTACATATATTTAAGTTTTTCAGCAAGAACTGCACCCAGGAATAAAATATTTTACAAGCCTTACTTTTCGAACGCCGTACCAAATAACCAAATATCAAACTAAGTATTAACCTCATCAGTGACGATCGAGCAAAAGAAAACTTAGTTACATAAGTATACAATAAGGCGTCACTGTCATTCATAATATTTCTTAAACGGCTGACGAGGTTCCCCCCTCCCATTTATATTAAATTTGAACTCCTTACTCCTCTGTTAACAATATTTTTGTCTGAGTTAATATTGTCGCAATGTCTGTCCATTTATAGTATAGAAGTCGTCATGAATGAAAAAAGTTCATCTCTTCATACTTGGTTGATTTTCTTGCAATTATAACTACATGTAGCCTCGGGGTAGGTTTCATTGTTATTAGCTTCATTTATGGTTAATCCAGACATTTTACCGCTTCCACTACAAAAGTTTGGGGGCACGCGCCCTCCCCCTTTTTTTCAAAATCCTGGATACGCATCTGATGTCGCGGCGGATCTTCTATACAAAAAGAGGCAGATGCACTGTCGTCATCGGATTAAATTTTATAGATTAATTTAAGTTTTTAACAGTCGTTTTACAACGTGTAAACATTCGTCGGCCAGTGTTATTTTACTTTCATAACAAGTTTTATTTTAAAAAAAAAAAACGTGATTGTGTGCAGTGGCGCATCATCTAAAAAAAAATGTCCGGACCATACAAAAACCCGTTTATGCAAAGTTTATTTTATGTTTATACGGCTTTGATCCACTCAGGTTTGTTTGCTCGTCTGAAGGCATCACATAAGACGTATGTGGAATCAAACGAGGGCAGTCATTGTACAACTCGTTGTGTAATTCGCATATTGATTTTTTCCACACCTGAAGTTTTTTACGATTATTTGTACAACTATTAACTGCACAAGAAATGCTTCCATGTTTTTATAACTTTCGGCAGGATCCATAGTAAAATAAATCAGAAAATGAAAGGAATACAAATGTAAACAGAAAATCGATATTGTTTTGATCAATACACGTGCATTATTTTTCACGGTTGTAATGGCGGATCGGTCACTTGAGAGGTTAATGGATGCGCCCATGTTTTCTAGGTCATTTACAGATAAACCCGTCTATATAAATTATCTGTTATTTTTCTAGTAAAAACCTGTTTATTGAAAAATGTAGAACTATTACAGGCTTCATTTATTTAAAATAACCAAAAAATAAATAAAGAACAAATCAAATTAAACTACTTCGAGTGTGGTGTTGTACGGTCAAAAAAAAAGAAAAACAAAATTAATTCAGGAAAATCCCAATCATTGTGAATTGTGGCAAAGGGGAAGCAACTCCAAAATTTCACATTTGCTGGTTTGTTTACATGAAAACGTCATAGTATAAATAAATTCAGGTGGACAGTATGTTCAGAAAACTTCGGACAAATGATGACAGACCCGAGTTAACTTCATTCGTGTCCAGGTAAACATGTTTATTTATTTATATAAAAGCAATTATTTTGGTCAATTGATATAAAGTTAAGCCAGAACAACATGAGTATGTATCTTAATAAACAATGCCAAGGAATTTATTTGTTTACACTGGGACCAATATATATAATTCCTATTAGTCACAGGTTTACCTGTTTACACCAGTCCCATGTCTCAATTGTAATTGCTACTGTGCATCAGCTCAACTCTCAGGCGTAGATCCACAAATAATTAAAAAGGGGGAAGTGACCAGAAGGCGCTATCATTGTAACGTGAAAACTGGTTTGTCGTCCCCCTTTTATTAATATCTGTAAATGAAAAATAAATATATAAAGATGGGGAGGGTCATCCACATCAAGTGACTGACAAGTAGATGTAGATTAACCAATATTACAATAGAAAAGAGTTCCCTCTGCTTAATTTCTGCGAATATTGAAACACGAAGGGGAGTCAAAAGAAAGTCTTCATGTGTGACCACAATTATTGTCTTTGGTTATACTTTAAATTTCGTGTTCACCTCATATTAAACTTGAATGTGCACCATAATGTGGGTCCGTATCCGAGCCGTTTCTCGGGATCGCAGACTTATGTCGCAAGGAGATTAACATTTGCTCTCTTATTCTTATTAGCCGTCTTGGTTCAAAAGCTAATATCGAACCTCAACTGGCTCACTATACTGTAGCTCTTTGCTGTAAGCTCTCGGATCTACTAATATTTAACTAGTCATAACTGAGTTACTGAAACGTCTCGGCTTATTTGTTGATTAATAATTCATGAATCTGTATACAAAATATTTTCATAATCTGAATATGTTTGTCTCATTGGCACTCAAACCTCATCGTCTTATTTATATTTGGACTACACAAAGTTATTCATTTATTTATTTTTTAGTGTACTGAATCATTAACATATTATTGTCCATCATCTGTCTTTAAATTTAAATCTTATGTTTCAGCTTATGCCATGCTGTCGAAAGCAATGATGGAGAAACAGTTAGTAATATTCTGTATAACATAGAGGGTAATCACGATGCTATTATGCTTGTGTATGCCACAGCTGTTCAAAATGGTAACCCGGATATTGTCCGACATTTTATAGAAAGTGAACATGTTCGGATCAACGATCTGGATTTGATGTTTGGCGAGACAGCTCTCATGCATTCAGTTAGATGTGGCCATTTATCTGTCGTCAAATATCTTCTTCAGAACGAGGCAGATATTAACTTAAAAAGTAGTCAAAATGGAGTCACGGCTCTTCATGTCTGTGTGAGTGGACCAGAAAGGCCACAGAATAATTGGGAAATTCTCAATTGTCTTCTTGAAAATTCAAAAATAGATTTAGAGGCAAGAAATAACGATGGTCAGACGCCTCTTATCCTAGCCTCTAACCAAGCCAAAATTGAGGAAATTAAACGATTAATTGTGGCAGGATGTGATATGTACGCCATACACCAAAAACGAGGACAAATAGCAGCACATTTCTGTATGTCATCAAGATATTTCTCAGCATTCACAGTCGTAGTTGAGTGTTTCCGTATATTTTTAGAAAATAGAATAGACCCTGACTTCCGCGACACATCTGATATTCCATTTATTGGTTACGCAATAAACACTGGGATTTACAAAATATTGTGCTTACTTATTTATTCAAACTGTGATATTAATATTTTATACCAAGATATGCTAGTTACGAGATCAATTTGTCCACCATTCGTCCATGCTTGTCAACGAAAACAAAGGCGGCTTATAGAAATTTTATTTGCCGCTGGATGTGATGTACATAAATGGTGTGACATTGTATGTGATGACCTTAATCAGTTTAACTTGTCTGATATTGGGAAATCCCCCAGAACTTTAAAACAATTATGTCGAATTCTCATACGCAAACAAATTGGATATTACCCTCATATATTTATCGATCAATTAGGTCTTCCCAAAACTGTTTCTAACTACATTTTATTGAAAGATGTTATTGATGTTGAATTATCATAAAAAGTTTATTTATACATTTATGCAATTCTTTATGTTATAGTCGTGATATAATTAAAACGATGGACAAAATGCTAAAGCAGTGTAATAGTCCTCGACATGTATCAATTTAAAAGTGTGGTTTGACAAAGTCATGGATCTATTCCGCCAAGACCAAGATAGATTCAAATGCTCTATACCTTCATCAGACATGCATCGAACTATGCAAAATCTATATCGCCAATGTTAATCAAAATATAGTCGGAGCGGTCTCTAGGCAATTTTGTCGTTTTTACATTAAACTAAAATAAAACAAAATAATAAGAATATATTTTTGGTGTAGGTTTCCAAGGGGTATTGTTTATCTTTTAAGCTTTAAAGAATCCACGAAGCAGATAAATAAGAGTAGATGTGGGATATACGCCAATAGGACAGCAACCCAACACCAAAGATATATTTATAAATAAATGCAATTGAATATGGGTTAATAAATACAAAGGTATATGGATTAATAAATACAAAGGTATATGGATTAATAAATACAAAAGTATATGAATCCATAAATATATATCCTAAGAAGCATATACATTCTTGCATATATACATAGAAATAAGAAGATGTGGTATGAATGCCAATAAGACAACTCTCCATCCAAGTCACAATGTGTAAAAAGTAACAAATTACAGGTCAAAGTACCGCCTTCAACACGGAGCCTTGGCTCACACCGAACAGTAAGCTATATAAAGGGCCCCACAATGACTAATGTAAAACATTTCAAACAGGAAAACCAACGGTCTAATCTATATAAAAAAACGAGAAACGAGAAACACTTATGAACCACATCAATTAACAAACGACAACCACTGAACATCAGGTTCCTGACTTAGGACAGGTGCAGACAAATGCAGCGGGTTTAAACGTTTTAATAGGTACCAACCTTTACTCTTACCTGAAACAATAGTGTAACATTACAAACTTCACCTGGATAAATCCAAGTCGTTATCAAACATATAGATTAACTTGCATAAGGAGATCGTGGTCCTGTGGCAAATATGTTTCAAAGAATTGAACACAAATCAATTGGTATGTTTTGTAAGGTGATTTAGATAAAGAGGAGCGGACTCAAAACAGTACCTGTTCCGTAGTCAGGACCGACAGTTTTCGAAAACACGGGAACTTTTGCCTTTCTTAACTTTTGAACACCACATCCTTGCATGGTTTAGTAGGTTGAGTCGTTTTCTTTCATCATTTATTTTCTGTGTTTGCTTTGTTTGTTATTTTCGTCTTGGTTTTGGCTATGGGTTTGTCTTTTCGTCTTGGTTTTAGCTATGGGTTTGTCTTTTCGTCTTGGTTTTGGCTATGGTTTGTCTTTTCGTCTTGGTTTTGGCTATGGGTTTGTCTGACCTTCTATTTATGATTTTGGTTTCCCCTTTGACATCTGCTTTCTTAAAAAAAAAAGAAGGAAGAAAATCATTCTATATAAAAAGCTGTGAGCATAAAAAATCAAATTACTATTAAATATCATAGAACTAGATATTATGATATTGGCATTTAAGTGACAAAGTCCTACGGCTTTTATACTGTAAGAATTTTATTTAACCTATCACTTTGACACACTCAAGTCTGAATGGCGGTTGGAGGTGTATAAATACACAGTCACGTTGTAACTTATTTCAGACGTGAGCATGTGTTGGAGTATCCCGGGCTTTATGGAACCACAAAACCACTGTAGCTTCCCTTGCGGAGATGCGTCATTTGGTTGTGATGGATGCATGTAAATAAACTTACAGGCACGCCCATTGTGGACATTAATTTCTAGATATATACGTAAATTATTGGAACTGCATCATTACTTTGGAAATAGCACGACTTCTATGTTTATCGTTGACATTTAACTGATTGATGGTTGTTTGTTGATTGTGTGAGGTCCAGTGGCAAACAGTTCATGCATATTCAGGAAGAAAACAAATTAACAATGAAAGCAATTAATATAGGTTCTGTGAAATGGATTGCGAGAATTTCGACTGTAATTGGAAATTGAGAGTACGTTAGATAGGAGACAGAAATTTCACCTTGCTACACTGGATATGTGGACCCCTCAAAGAGTTGTTTCAATGGTTCTTTAACGTACAGATCTTGGAATTATCTCTATACGACATATTCCGACTGGATGTTGCTGTGTATTTATACATCCCGCCAGCCAGTTAGACAACATTAACCTTCAGCGAGGTTTTTACTGCCGGACAAGAAGTCAATGGGATGACCGAATTTATTTACATAAGGAGACGAACATTTGATTTTCTTGAGATGGGAGATTGGATTTTTGAAATGAATATAATCATGATGAAGACAGGATGAAAATGAATTATCTACAACTCAAAATGAAGGACTGAATTTATTGTGTCCAAAAGTGAAAATAAATGTTGGCTCCGAGAACAAATAGCAACGCATAGCATCCGATGAAAATGAATATTCAATCCGCAAAATATCCTGCCCCCATCCTCAAGAATTTCTAATGGTCGTCTTCTAAGTCAACCCTTGACATATATCGTGAAGTTTAGTCTAGTTCTGTGGGGAAAGGGAAGCAACTACGAGACTTCTAGTCATTTATTTTGTAAACATACACGCAGTACACAAAAACATATGTGTGTGTCGTGGTGTACTTCGTTGGGTAAAACCATTTAAAAGGAAAATTTAAATGTATGCACGAAACGTTGGACAATTGTACGAAAAGCGTGAAATCATCACACGAACTTTATCAAGGTAACTAGTAATCATAAAAAAAATTTAAGCAATAATTGCAAGGGAGATCAAGGGAGGTAACGTTATCTGTAAACCAGGTAAAGATTAAGAAACTCATCAATCAAATTATTTGGAAATGAATTAATTTTCTTATCTATTAAGAGTCTAAAAGGATCGAGGAATGCTAAAAAGTAAATCAATTAGTTATTCTTTTATCTTTTAAAGTCTGATTAGTATGTGTTTTCCATAGTCATTTCCTGGGACTTTCCTTTTCAAATATAGGGGTTTCAATAAATCTTCTTTCTCATTTTAGCGTTGTCTTTATTAAATGTTTGCTCATTGTTTAATTGTAACAGCTGGTCATATATATTGCCATTCTTCTTTGGATTTGCTAACATAATGCGGTCACCAGAACTTCGCAGATTCCATATTGAAACTCGTGAGACGGAGGTCTGTTTGGCTGTATACAATGTCTGGTCGGAATGAAGACATAATACCCAACGACTCGGTTAGAGAAAATCTGGTCGGAATGAGGACATTATACCCAACGACTCAAGTGTCACACTAAGAGTCAATCCATTATAAAGAGCCTGTTGGATTTATTGTTGCTTTGTTTTCGACCTGAATAAGCATGAAACATTTGCCACTGGACGTTTGTTTTCATCATTGGCCCTTGTATGCTACTTCATATTTCAACAAATAATTCATCAAATCTTAATTATAGAAACCAATGCATGAAATATTGCCTGGGTAGGTCAAATGTCAAACTAGTAGGTCAAATGTCAAACTAACGACGGATTTCCAAGGAAAAGAAAATTATTGCAACTTTTATGCAATCAATGCGATTGGACTTCTTATGGACGTCTATCCCAATCTGCGCGATAAAAAATCATTGTAACAACTTTTTGAAGTCCGTATAGGTGGCTTGTTGCAAGTATAAATGTCTGTCCCCATCCATGGCCACCAGTCTACAGTAACTGGGTACTGTAAATTCAGAAATTAAGGCGTGCATTTATTTTTGCGATTCATTGATTACTAGTAATTGCTAAAAGTACGAGATCTTATTAATGGGATTGCAAAAGCTTTGTTAAGGAAAATCACAACTGAAATTATGAATGCGAGCTTTTATCAATGCGAACCTGATACTGCCGCATTTATTATTCGCATTTATAAAAACATCGCAATAATTTCAGAATTTACAGTTTTTGATTAACAGGTATTGTTTAAGTTGATTTTGTCCTGGACTTGCAAAATTACTTGCCACTGGATGTTAAGCATTCAACCAACAACACACAATTAATTCAATGTCAAAACGCCAGACACTGAAGTCGAACTGTTTTAGCCTTAAAACAAGTAATTGCTTGCACCCAGTAATCACGAAAAAATAAAGAAAATAGTAGAAATAAATCGGACATCAAACAGCATTTCATATAAACTACGTTATCGGTCAAAGGAAATAACCCAATCGAAGGTCCAGATATGTTAAATCATATAAAATACGATTGCTAATGAGACATATGTATCAAAGACCAAAGGACAAGGTGAACTACAGGTCACCGTATGACCATTAACAATGAGCAAAAAAGTTATATGGGGTATATATTAAGAAGACAGCACATCAACAACAAATAAGCATACATACATATATATAGATCAATATAGTCTTCAACAATAAACTAATGTTTATACAATATATCAAGTTATAAAATGTCCAGAATCTTTAAAGTTGCATATTAATTTAATAGGATCAAACAAAAACTTTTGTTTACATCAACATATCAAGAGAACGACAAACATTAAGATATGATTAACTACAATTCACGCTTTCTTTTTATATTACGTTATTGATATTATTTTTCTATATATTTTATTTTATATTTATTAAAGTTTAATTCAAGCCATTGAAAGAAACGACTCTGAAACAGTTCGGGACATTTTATGCACCATCAAAGGAGAACAAAGTAGCATCATTCTCGCCTATGGAACAGCTATTCAGAACGGTAATCTAGATATAGTACGATATTTCATCGAACTAGGACATGTCCGAGTAGATGATACGAATCTGATGTTTGGAGAGACGGTCCTCATGCAATCCGTCAGATATGGACATTTATCTGTCGTCAAATATCTTCTTCAGAACGATGCAGATGTTAATCTCAAAAGTAGTCAAAATGGAGTCACAGCTCTCCATGTCTGTGTCAGTGGACCGGAAAGTCCACAAAATAACATAGAAATTCTTGACTGTCTTCTTAAAACTAACAAAATAGACTTAGAAGCCAGAGACAACGATGGCAATACCCCG